TTAGCATTAGCAGCATTAGCATTAGAAACTAGTTTGTAGAAGTTGATTTATTTATAATAACTACGATTAATATTATGAATATTATTAGATCGTACACTGAGATTTCAAATTCACAATAAAAAAAGTTAAAAATAATATCTTTAAATTGCTGACTTGGATATTATTTATTTGAATCTTTAAATTGGCTCGATTTCCCTTATTCAATGTTAATTAGCTCTAATCAATATTGTTACCATGAATATAATCAGATTAAATGATTTAAGAAACCAGAGTCGTACTTGAAATTTTTTAAAACAACAATTAAATAGTTTTGTTGTTGTTAAGGTACCCAAAACAAAAAAACGTATAAAGTATGGCATATCATTGTACTCAGGAGACCGAGTTCTTTCAAAATCTGAAATAAAAAATGCAGGTTCGTATTTAAAAAAATTAAGTTGACCTCTGTATCTCACAAATTAATTTTCAATTTATTTTGACTACCAAACCAAACTAATTTGAAAATCTTATTTTTTTTAAATCTATTCGTATAAGGATTTTTTTATTAACTACTAAAGAAAATACTATAGGATGCGTACGTTATCCACGACACTGTACAGGAGTCGACGATAAAATTCATTATCTCATTTGTTTTAAGAATTACGAAAAAATGTGAAATAGAAAAGGTTTTACATAGTGTTAAGATACACTATTTAAATTATTTGTGCGTGTACAGGGTATCCCATTTTAGTTCATATGATACGCCGGTATCTCCGTTATTAGTATAGATAGGAGGTTGCGGTTTGCACATACCTGTCCCACTTTTTTGTCAAACGGAAGATGCTGTAAACATTTTCATAGCCCACTTTGTTTCTCAGCTACAGGGTCTTTTCGAAAATGTTGCAATTAGGGACAACCCCCGTATCTCCGTTGTTGTGGAAGTTATCAAGAAGGTGAAAACTGTTTATTGTAGATATTTTTACGTAGATTACAGTGGCGTAGTCGATTTTGTTGTCAGATGTTCAAATCGACGTTTCTTCTTTAAGCTACCATTGTCAACTTTCTTTTTTTAAATACGGCCGTACGGCCGTTGATTTTTATTGCAACACCATCCCATCTTGTAGAAGAAAAAAGTAGCAATGAGATTATGAAATTAAGTTTATGAACATGTTAATCGGCCACAATTTACCTTTAAAAAAGTGCTTAGTTTATCCGTTAGAGGGTATCATATTTTAGTAAATCCACGCTAATTAATTTAAAATTTATGAACACTGATATAATATTCCAGATTTTTTGCCAACTAGATTTATTATTAACATTATCACCTAAGAAATATGTTTTGTAGGGGAAATATAGAGAAATGTGAACTTTTGTGTAGTCAAAAAAAGTGGCGGGTAATATGGAATAGGTATGGCGGGTAATATGGGATAGGATAAATAATATAATTATACAAAATGAACGGTAAACTACCACTAGTTGTTTTATGTACAAAAATCGCACAAAAATATTTCCATCTCGGCATTTGTGCAAGCTTAGACAGAGAACAACTTAGACAATAGAAGGTAATTCGTTTTTACACTAGATAGATTTTAACTCGTTTGGCTTATTTTGTTACGCTTGGTCAGTACCAACAGAATGCCTATATAAATGCTCAAATTGTAGATAATAGTTTAGTTTTAGTCATCTGCTGAGGATACTGAAATGGTTTGCGAAACGTGCGTCCATTGTTAAAAGTAATGTGTTTTGGTGTATTCTGGTGAATTGAATTAATGTTTTATTTTGCTGTTGTAAAACCAAAGGTTCCAACCCCCAACTACAAGCTTTAAAAATAGTTCTATTAAAAATATCCGATAAACTATTCATCCTTCAATGATTATAGCGGGCGATATGAAATACTCACATGTCGTGTAATATGAAACATTCCATATTACACGCAATACATGTTTCAGAAACAACAGAAATATTATTGAACATTAACCCGAAGGTATTAACTAAATACGTAGTAAACAAATACAGTATACTTTGTTTAGCCTTACCAAAGAAACAACTCTTTCTATCAAAATTTCTACACAATTAAAATTTAACCAACACCTGTAAAAAACTTTGGTAACCGTCAATTTGCAATTTTTAGTTTTATGAACGACTGAGGTATTGGCGGTTGAGTTTTTCCAATCATGTGATCTGTAATTCGAAATATAAGGTTTTGTTTTCGAAATATAAGGTATTCCGTATTAACCGGTCTATTCCATATTACCCGAAATTACTCTACTGATAGGCACTCCAAATCTCAATCAAGTCAGATTATCGATTCTTAAAATATCATAAAAAATTTGTTTACTTTTTTTAAAATTACTTTTTTAAAATTTGAGCGCTCTCACGGATAAATAAAGCACTTTTGTGTAGAGGTAAATTGTGTCCAATTAACTTATTTTGATTCCAAAGATATGTAGTAGTTCTATATGTCTAAAGAATATTTTGAAACACTGTACAGTACGGCTATCCGTTCTGTAGCTACGGGGTATCCGTGAGAGGGGAAACGATATTCTCTCGATGTTTTTCGTAAAAAAATTAGACGACGCGTCCCATCAATAAAAATTCGATAAATTTGTAAAGCTCCGTTCTCAGAACGACGTCCTGTCGCGGGCGACACGTCAAAAGGACCAATGAGATTTGTACAAAATTCAAACAGCTGTCAATTTTAAATTTCGTACAGCTCCCATTGGTTGTTTGAAATGTCCAACTGTATAGCCAGCGACACAACGTCGTTCTGAGAACGGGGCTTAAAGTAACCAATAAAATGAGTGGGCGGAGTGATTTGCGGTGACATACTCGTCGACGTATAAAATATATTGCTGTTGATTTAAATGTTTTTTGTCCTCATTCCTTTCATAGACACAGATCCAGTAGACGTACTTTATATCCGATTTAGGCGCGATTTTCACTATAACGTACCGCCACCGTCACGTCGAGTCGCCGGCCACCACAGTAAATATTCTTAAATGGCCAACAATGAACATATTCACACTACCCGTAACGTCGCCGTCGCGTCGTGGCAACGTCTATATCTCATTTACTTTTTACTTCATATTTTATTTCGACGGCGCGGCGCGCGGCGGCTCGACATGACGGTGACGGTACGTTATAGTGAGAATCGCGCCTTATAGTTTTTAATTAGTTATTAACCAACTAGTTTAACAACAAAGTGATTTCGGCATAGAGCCACTTCGTATACCTATGTTTAAACTCGAATCTGATCATATAAATTTGAATTAGATGCACACTACATTTATGAATCTAGCTCACTGACTTTCAAAGATGTCAGTTAATTTTTTAAACCGTATCTAAGTGTTTTAGTTTTTTTTTAAAGTACACTAAACCAATCTTTCTATACATTCAGCAAAATACATCCGATTTACACTAACCTTACTAAATGTGAGAGCAATTTTGATAAAATCTATTATACTAGACGTTGAAACTTTAGAAAACTATCTTCATTCTATTAATAAAAGAATATGCGATGGTAATAGTTATCTTATCGTTTTAATTTAGAAGCAGATTTCATCTGTTTAAAGCATATACCGTGCTGACAACTGTTACTTTTGGATCGGCATTTACATGTGTGGAAGTAAATCGCATAGGGATCTTATTAAGTCGGAGTGAGAGAAATGCGACCGACTGACGCGACGCGCGACGGTGTGCCGTTGCGGCGTTGCCGATACGCCTTTCCCTATCAAGTAAAGTAAAATCACGATCGCAAACCGCTTATTTTTAAAAGACTTTTTTTTCAAGAGATAACTAGATAAAATCATTAGACATGTTTCTGAGCATCTGAAATGGAATTATAAGGATATCGTTAAGGTGATATCGTGAGGTGTAATTTTTTTTATAACGAGAAAACGTCAGTAATCGCGATAATTTAAAAACTCAACTTTTTAACACATAACAGGCCACAACTCAAGAACCACTTTAGATATTGAAACTTTTTTTATTTTCCAGATCGGATATTTTACAATATGTTTACATAAGAAAAATTCGATAAGGTTGTTTTTTCTATTCAAAAATTGTAAACAATCCATCCATTTACTTTTAGAGCATAGCAATTTTCAGCAATCGTGTAATTTTTTTATTGATAAAGATTTTCACATACTGTCTACAAAGAAAATACAGCCAGAAATATTCACGGCTGCGCGAAATAAGTAGGTTATCTGTCATACGAAGAAGCGAAGTTGCCACTGTTGCCATTTATCAAATATCTCTATATACTTTATTTCAAGTATACCTCAGGCAACGAATCATTTTTTTAATTATTTATTAGCAGTAAGATATTTTATACATTCAAATTTAGAAATAAGGATAAAACAAAACAAAAAAGATATGTATAAAACTTTATAATTAATTCCACTTCAAATTGTGAGCAGTGTATACCATGTTTATAGGACCATTTCATAAGTTGAGCAGTTAAATACGTAGTCTATCTGTCAAACCCGTCAAAAGAGAGAGAAAGAAAATTTGGTCCCACCACATCAAAAGAGCCGACGGTTTCTGTCGCTAATCGGCGATCTACGTACTCTGATTTCATACTAGTTGAAGCCTGGCGCATCCGCCTCGACATAAAAAAAATACTTTTTATTTTTTTTTAATTAAATGAAAAACAAAAAATCCAGCGACGACAGTTTTTAGAAGAGCCAATTAGCTATCTTTTAGTAAAAAAAGCAACTTTCTAGAGCAAGTCGTTACTTCAGTAGAAACGACACAGATAAACATTAGCATTTTATATATGTAGATGTTTGGCGACGTATTTTGTACAGTCTTTGTTCAGTACATTATAAACGCATTGTACTCTTCTTACATACGGAAATCTCGACCCAAGATTAACCTTTGCCAGCCCTTAGTATTCACTCGCTGGACAGATGATACATTTTGACGCTAATTTGTGTAACATATTTTTATATTTCTGCTAAATCCACACTATACGTTTAGCATTCTAAAATTAATTAAAGATTAATAATTAAATTAAATTTCAGGATATAGAAGGGAAGTGTCTTTAGTTATCTCAAAATTGGCAATATAATACGTTAGTTAGTTTTCGTATGGGGCTAACTATTCACACAATGTGTAAATAAGCTATGTATAAATATATTCTAAAGTCGGTCCAACGAGCCAGGGAAGATTTCGCCAGACGACATCCAAACAATGACAGCAAATTTGATTTAGCTGTGAAGTAGAATGACAGACAACAATTATTACTGTTGGAAGACTCTCGTTGGGCAGACTATAAACCTGCATTAAATCTTTGTCAGTATTAAGTTAGCTTTAATTTTCAGTATTTCGCTTAAAATTTGAAATATTTAAAAAGCATCATATTAAATCCTGTTCATTACCATTTTAAAAGTACAATACTAGATGGGTATACAGTACTAAATGTCAAATTATTATTCGCCTGATTATATTGAAAATGAATGTTCGATGATTTGTGTTAATATTTGTGCATCTTTATTATACAGGGTGTTTCAAAAAACATGTGCCATCTCTCGTGGGGAGATTCCTCACCTAAAAATAAGATTTATTTTCATATCAACATATGTCCGATTCTGCTTTGTTTCGAGCTACAGGGTGTTAAAGTCTTAATCATCTTTCGATTTATTATAAAGTACTTTTAGTGATTCCAATGAAATTTTCAGGGTAAAAGTTCCTATAAGTGCTACATATTTTAATGCTAAAAAAGTGTCGATAAATTTATCAGGGACGTGCATATGGGTTATCACTGGAATATTTTTCAAAAAAAAACATGCGCCACTGATTTCTTCTCTTTTGATATCAAAATTGTGTAGGCCGTTTAATGCCAATTAAAAGTTATCTCTTGATATTTTGTAGAATTCGGCCTCCTTGATGAGATAAACGCAATTTTATTAATGACAATTAATAAAATAAAAATAAAATTAATAAAGTATATATATTTTACCTAATTTATTGTTACATATTATTACTATTAGTCCAACATACAGCAATTTAAAATAAAATAATGGTTAAATTAAAAAAAAAGGCGCCGGGAGGCACATATAGCCGCCCTAAAATATGTTAATATCTCGAAAACTGCGACTTTGACTGCTTTTGATGTTATTACAAATTTTGTTGCAAATATTATTCCTAATCTTAATTTTAAAACCGCGTTTCGCTAGCTACTGTAATTTTGGAGTTAAGATTTTTTTAAATTTTTAACCCCCTCCCATACCCCTTTACCAACCCCCCACCCCCACCAAAAACTAATGGCCAGATTCTTGGGTGCCACAGTATTTTTGTGCCAAATTTGGTTAAAATCGGTTCAGCGGTTTTCCAGTTATCGTGTTACAGACGGACAGACAGACAGACACCATGAAAATATTTTGTATTTAGGTCATTTATGACCCAAATAACTCATTTTGAGTGAAATTAAGAAAAAAAAATTTGCCGATCTTAATAGCGTACCATACCTATTGGTATGGTCGGCTAATAATGGTATTTAAAGTAATTACAAAAAAACCTAATTTTAAAATGTTTTAACATCCTGTAACTCTAAAACTATACATTTCCATAAACATGTTTATAGGAACTTTTTTTCATATTTTTTGACGAAGAATCAATGAGTACTTATTTAAAACTCTCGCAAAATGTTTTAAATGTTGCTATTAGATTTGGATCAAGGCAATTTAATAAAATTACGTCTATCTCATCAAGGAGGCCGAAATCGACAAAATATCAAGAGAAAAAAACTCAGTGGCGTACATGCTTTTTTTAGAAAAATATTCCAGTGATAACCCATATGCACGTCCCTGGTGAATATGTGGACACTTTTTTAGCTTTAAAATATGTAACATTTATAGTAACTTTTACCCTCAAAATTTCATTCGAAACGCTAGAAGTACCTGGAAGAAAATTATAATAAATCGAAAAAATATTAAGACGTTAACACCCTGTAGATACGAAACAAAGCTGAATCAGATCTATGTTGATATGAAAAATAAATGTTATTTTTACGTGAGGAATCTCCCCACGAGAGATAGCACATGTTTTTTGAAACACCCTGTATATTACCATAGAAGGAAAATGGGCATAGAAGTTTAATTTGCTTAATATCGATTCATACTTTTTTGTATTGCCTTTATTATTCTTATTATATTTTAGAATAATTTCATATACTTTTTTCTACCTCAGTCCATCATGTTTTCTACGTCAATATTATTAACAAATTAGTAACCGAAATTCTATTTTACTTTATTATTGGAGTTTCTAATATTGTCAAGAATATTTGTTGTTTATCTATACGGTACCAACTATAGTTAAAAAAAAATCTGCAGACAATAATAATTATATTTTAGATAGCACTAAGTAGTTAATAATCGTGTTTTTATCAATGTAGTTGGTGTAGAGAAAGAGTTTACGATTTTAGAATAAGTTTTTAAGATTTTCACGACAAGTTTGTGTATTTTATCGCAAAGGTGATTGTTTCTTGACAATTTTTTGATGTCAACTGTCGAAATCATAGATTCTTTCAACGGCTAGACTATAGTTAATTTTAATACTGAAATAACAGCTTATTGGAGACTTGTTAATATACAGAAAACACCCTTTTAAAATTATTTTAGTGATAAAATTTGCAATTACGAATTACAGAGTTTTCAACGAATGCGATTCCATATAACTATATTTGGTGCTATCTAACAATAATCGTCTAATCAACTTTATTTGTTTGATAACAAAAATTGAAATTCAAATACAGTGTTATTAAAAATAATAATCTGTCATAGTAAACTTTTTTATTTATCAATTCGCACTTATTGAATAAAAATGTTATTTTTTTATATTACATATAGATTGTGATATAGGTATTAAAACAATTAATTGTAGTTTAAATTTTCTCCAGATATGGCACAATACTATAATACCAAAGCATTCTTTCACTATCTGATGAATGTGAATAAAATCAGCTTTGAAAATTAAAAGGCTTTGAGCTAAAAAATCTGTAATCTGGTCTAGGGACAATATGAAATAATACGAGTTCCATTGTAATAAAGGATATTGTATTGTATATTATAAGATAAAATTGACTTTATACATTTTGTTTATATTTATATTATTAAAATATATTGTTGCATTCCTTATTTATTTAGTAGTGTTAAATTTATTGCACTTTTTCAGCTGTGTATGTTATAAATAAAAATATTTGTTTAAAAACTATTCTTTATATTTTTCTTCATAGAGTGCTATATTCTAGTGTAGATTCGAACCCGGTAATCTCCGGCTCTCAAGTCAGCGGTTAGGGTACAAACATAGCGATAAAAGGGTTCTTATCGGCGAGAAAAAGCAAAGAGCCTGGTAGACTTCAGAAACTATTTCGGATATCAGCTGTTTGGATATTTTCCACATATACTGCAAACTAGTAAAAGAATCACCACTTGCGAGGAACCGTAATGTTAACGCCAAACGTTCTTCTGCCGGAATCGCCTTTCGGAAGTACATATCTCTTCTGGATATTTTGTCCTTAATGCCATTTAGAAGAAATGAAAAATCGCTTTCTGAAATTCTTATGAAATTTTTAAATCGCCTGCCATCGCCGTCGCTTCGGATGTCGTGCAATAAAAAAGAACTGTTAAGGCTCCAATCTCGACTTCTTTGAAGATATAATTGTGAACACCATCTAGTACGACGTCGTCGTCTCTTTTTCTTTAGCAACTCATAAATAACTATGAACGCAGCACTAGCTACTCCTAAATGATCCATGTTTCTCACTAAATTCGGACACAAACACGAGCGCCTCCTCCAAACCAAACCAAACCAAAAACACAATTCGCCGGAATGAATGCCCGTTCGGCTCAAAGTGCTCATTCGGTTCGTTTGCTTAGATACTCAGATGTGTTATAATACTTATAATATACTTAATAATACTTAGATACTCAGATGTGCTTAAAGCCGCGTACACATCTGAGCAAACGAACCGAATAAGCACTTTGTGCCGAATGAGGATTCAAATGTAGACGGACGCACGCACTGCGCCGAACACGTTCATGCGGTGCGCCAGCTGATCCGAGAGTTGTCGGTCCACCAAAGGAAATTCGTGCTCAGACTATGATCTGGACGGGTTTTTAGTAGCGTATAAAAAACACACACCGAACGGCCCCGTACGACATGGATTTTTCGCAAGACAGGTGTTTACAATTAATCAAAAAATTTGAGAAAAGGCCTATTTTATGGAAAGTTAAACATGAGCTGTATTTCAATAAAATTAAAAAAGAAGATGCTTGGAGGGAAATTGCTGAAAAACTGAACAGGGACGACTTCTTTGAAGATATAATTGTGAAGACCATCTAGTACAATGTCGTCGTTTGTTTTTCTTTGGCAACTCATAAATAACTATGCTATTCCTAAATGTTCCATGTTTCTCACTAAATTCGGACACAAACACTGGAGCGCCTCCGAATGCAGGCTCATGCGGTTCTGTGCGGAAAAAACACAATTCGCCGGAATGAATGCTCGTTCGGCTCAAAATGCTCATTCTGTTCGTTTGTTCAGATGTGTACCAGTGGCGTGCGATGAAATTTATACAAGGGGAAGCGATTCGATAAAGTTAATAAAAAAAAGTCGAAAAATATGTTTAACAGATCACATACAGGGTGGCCCATCGAAAACGTTCTGCATAAATAGTTCTGCATAAAAAATAACGACCAGGGTAATTTCGTTTTCAGAAAATTCAAAAACACGTCAATTTTGTTTGTGAGGGGGACAACTTTTGCCCCAAAAATGATTGCAAAATCTTCAACTCTCTAAGCGGGGGTGTCATCCCCCAACTTTTTTCAAATGGGAACGGGGGTGAAGTGGTACCGCAATGAAAAGAGCTTTCTATTCTCTATACTTTCCCGCTTCGTTTTTGAAAATCGGTCGAGTCATTGAAAAAATATGAAGGATTGAAATTTGAAAAGTTTAAATATTTATCAGAGTAAATGTAATTATGTAATTTGCAGTTTTTTCTTATTATTTCTAGATGTTTACGCATTTTTTCCCTTGCCAGAAGGTTGAACGATCAGTAGTTGCAACGAGCGGTAGTTGCTAGATAGCTGTACTGTGACTTGAAGCGGTTGAAGTTCTTCTCAATATCGTTAAACTTTTTAACAATTATGGTGTACTCACTTGCAGAAAGAGTGGAAATAATCGAACTTTATTTTAAAAATAATGAAAGTGGCAATCGGGTTGCGCAGATATTCAATGAACACCATACTGACAAACACCTTTATGGCAAAATTGTTCGCGAGTGAGTAGCAAAATTTCGCGAAACTGGTTCCGTTATGAATAAAAAGAGGCAGAGGGAAAATCCTGTAGTAAATGAAGCTATGGAGTATTCGTATTGGGCCAAGTTGCCATGGATAGTACCCTGAGTACAAGAAAATTAGCCAATGAGACCGGCGTGAATCGTACAAGTGTCCAAAGGATATTAAAAAAACACAAGTTCCACCCGTACAAAATTCAGTTGGTACAAGAACTTAACGAAGACGATTTTGATCGTCGTTTGCAATTTTGTGAAACTATGAGTGAACGAGTGGCGAATGATAATAATTTCCTATTTAATGTGTGTTTTTCGGATGAGTGTACTTTCTTTTTGAACGGTGTAGTTAATCGGCACAACTGTCGGTACTGGGCTCAGGACAACCTCAGGGTTTTTCTCGAGGTGCACACCCAAAACCCTCAGAAATTGAACCTGTGGGCTGGTATTTGTGGAAATTCTATTGTGGGTCCTTTTTTCTTCCTGGAATTCTAACAGGTGATATGTACTTGGATTTACTAGAAAATACCATCAACCCAGCCCTAACTGACATCTTAGAGAACAATCCTGGATACGTTGAAGCGGAACTAATATTTCAACAAGACGGTGTTATTTATACAATAACTTTCCCGGTCGGTGGAAAGGACAAAGGGGTGCAATTGAGTGGCCCCCCCGGTCACCCGACTTGACTCCTTTAGACTTTTTTCTATGGGGACACATAAAAAGTAAAGTGTATAGCACTCCACCCGCCTCCTTAGAGGGTTGAAGATTTTGTAATCATTTTTGGGGCAAAAGTTGTCCCCCTCACAAACAAAATTGACGTGTTTTTGGATTTTTTGAAAAAAAAATACCCTGGCCGTTATGCCTTGCGGAACGTTTTCGATGGGCCACTACCTAGATTCATATTACTTGCTATGAATTATTAATTAAAAAGCTTGGTCTCAACGTATAGGGAAGCGCGGCGCCGCTTCCATGCACCGCACGCGCCTGATGTGTACGCGGCTTTATTATGCGCACGTTTTAAACACTGATTTAAGATGGCACGCGGCAGTAAAAAAATCGAAATTCTGACCAATAGCCGCCGACATACGCAAGGGATTTTTAAGTGATTAGTCCCGCAGTCCAGTTATGACATTTCGTATCTCCCGACTCGGTCGTTCAGATCGCCATAATCGAGTACAGATATTTTGGTATTCACAAACGCGCAGATCTGATCTTTCATTAGGTTAGAACTCACAATAATCGGGACCGCCCTTGGACTGCCACATATCCAATATTTCTCCGGGGTAGTGCACTAACGCACAGATATTAATGAGAGCAGGTAAAGACCGCGGCGGAATAAATCTTTTAAAAATCCTTTGCGTGTATGGGCGGCTATATTCACTTATGGAAAATGAAAATACCACACATTCTAATCAAAGTGCAAAGAAATTTTGGCAGTAATTGGTGCCTTATTAAGTGGAGAATGGTCTATTTACGTGGCCAATAACCTGTTAGTGTCTTAATTCTTAATACTTTTACTTTATAAATGAATCCTAATATTTTACCGACTTCAACGAAAAAATAACGTGAATTACGGTGTAATGTTTCAGCAGCCCAGAATTAGGAATATCATTAAAGTCTCTAGAATATCATTTTTAGGGATGCCGTCTGTTGCTTATCCCATTAAATTTCAATTCATTCAATTATAAAAACTGTATTACTTTTTAAAAAAAATATTTATATTGCTTCTTTGTTGTCCTCTTGACCCTAATTATAAAGGTATTATACAGTCAGTATGATTTGACATTGAAATAATGGCTGCATGATATTCACTAAGTAAAAAATAAAAGCAGTCATATTTTTTAAATCTCCAAGATCAGATATAGTATGTATTATAAACTATCAAAAATTCAAAAAATTGGAAAATAATAATTTATTATAAGAATACAAATATGCCATCTATTATGTACAATAAGAAGATAACTGCCTTTTCCCTGACCTATGTACTTCCTCAAGCTGTTTTTACCTTTGCCTGTCAAAATAAAAAACTTAATAAATATATATGGTTATAAAAATCACTCAACAAAAAAACAACAATTTAATGATTTTATTCTCTATTTTACAGTTATTCAGAGATCACAGCACATATTACAATCGGAAGTTAGAAAAGTCCAGTCTAGGTAATGGCAATTGAACATTCCTAACTACACATGACGATTCTGATCTGTCTTAGCTAGATAATACCAGTTAGCTTTTACAGATCTAATATATCCCAACAAAAGTTTCAAGCATGCTACATTGCATACTTATTTTTTATTAATGTAAGCTTAGAGTTCTGTAACATATTTAATCATCTTACGCAGGATTATAATGCCCTAAATCTGATATCCTGTCTCTGTTATTCCATAAAGCATAAAGAACTGATGCTCCTAATCCTATTGCACCACCAATTCCACATTTTTTCAAGCCAGCTAAAAGTGATTTAAAATGTTAATGTTTATAGTGTTTTATTATTTTGTATCATCATACATTATTGTATATCAAGTATCATATCACTCACCTGTAGATTTATAAAGTAGCCCTGTTGCTGTGGCAGCTACTATGGTATTAAGGTCATCATCGGAGCCTCTAGCCCATGACAGGAGTACCCCAAACGCAGAATATATTACAGCTACGGATCCAAAAGTATTGGCAGTGGCACTGCCTTTTTTCATTACATGATTAATTAACCTTAAAAAACTCGTGTAGATATAGTAATAGAGAATAATATATTAAACCTACTGTGTTCTTCGTAATTTTCCAGTTTGACCAGCGAGTGTTGTAGATTTTAGACCATTATAAAAACCAGAAGCTCCGCCTAATGCTGCTCCAACCATGCATGATCCACCAATCTGCCCAAAAGCCAATTCAAATCTACCTCTCTGTTTGCTGCCTCCGTCCAAAAATATAAATTCTGGCTGAGTTTGTGGTATATATCCAGGATCAAAGTTTAAATATGGTGATGAGAAGGGTTTAAATTGACCTAAGACATATCAACATATTATATAAGGTTAAGGTTAGAAAACGTTTTAATATGATGATTATAAATTATTACCTGATAAATTACTGTTAGTTTTATAACTATCTTTTTCAGAATATACATCAGAATTTTCATTTAGAGACATTTTCATATATATTTACCTAAAAAGATGTAAAATTTAGCACTTTATTCTAGAAAATACAAAAAAGAATTTATTTGCAAGTGACAGACTGACAGATGACAGTTGACATTTTGACTTGTGATATTTGACATTTGACAAATTGGTGACAAAGAGATGACATTGTGATGACATTTGTATTTGAAATTTGAAATGTTTTTGTTTGTATAAATTCTGCAAAATTATTTTAAATGCCTTCAAAAGTTATTGAAAGTTATCACACAATGGAACAACTAAGACCACATCAAGATGAGCTTCTTTATTTAGCAGAATTAGCAGGAATTCATATGGACAAAGATATTTTTAGGTACATATTGAAATTAAATACAAATTTGTTGTATTTTTTAATTTCTATTCCCCCGTTTTCCATCAGTACTCGACTATTATTGGCCAAAGGAGTCACGTGAATGAATTTTAATTTTTAAATTCACCATTTTAGGTAAAATACCAGAGATTTTCAAAATGTTTTAGGAGCTTGCTTCAATTGCTTAATATGGGAGTGAGTCCCGATGCAGTTTTCAATTTATTAAGAATAATTAAGAAGAAAAAAACAGAAACCAGTAAATTGCGAAAGAGCCATTCTTCCCAGAAGACCATATCTAAACATAAATAAAATAAATGTCATATTTGTAAATTATAAAATGTATTCTATATAATATACGTAAAAAATTGTTACTTTTATTCCTTTTAACTTGAAATGATTTCAAACATTGATTTGAAACACCTACCAACAAACTTTTTATTCAGAAACTTCCCACTACTATTTATAATGAGGTATATAGCTGCAGTTTTACTTTCTCTCTCTCTCTGCTCTATGTAAATATTTTCAGATTAGCTAAAGATTTGCTTTTTAAGTTTTATGAGATAGTTAATCTTTTTGAGTAATTGTTCAAATTGATGTTTATTAACTAATCCCAATTTTAGTTATATAAATAATAATAATTATACAACCTTTTCAGGATTGTTGTTTCCTGTGAGTGACAGAGAAGGAAATAAATACTTAAATACCTATTTTTTTACCTATAAACTTTTGACAACCGCTGTACGATCAGGTAGAAAATGAAAAAGTTTGATGATCTTTATCTCACCTCACCTGTATTTATGTTAAATTGCTCCTAGTACCTAGTATTTTTCGTTTTGTTTGAAGATCTGTTCTTATTATCTCTGTTATTATTTAGATATTTAAAACGTTTAGTAATGTGTTAGCATAATTCTGTTTTCAATAACTTAGTAAAAGAATATCAACTATGTCAACAATAGAGGAAGACGTTGAATTACGTGATTTGGTATCTCAAACTTTAGAAAAGAATGGATGTTTAGCAAAACTTCGGGTACGAGAAATAGCATTTATGTTCATTATTGTTTGTTATTCATATTATTTTTTAGGCTGAACTTAGAGCAAGTATTTTTCTTGCCTTGGATGAAGATCTGAAAGTAAGCTTTTGTAGCTAATGATTAATATAAGAATTTAAAATATAGCTTGTTTTTAGCTTAGTAAACATCAACCATTACAAAATTTAAGAGTTCAATCGTATCTTGAAACAGCAGAAGGAAGAATAATGTTTTGTTTGGTTAGAGAATTTTTAGAATTTTTTAACCTTCAGTTTACTATATCAGTGTACGAACCTGAATCTTATTTAGATAGTATTTATCACTATGAAGGTAGACAAAAAACTGCAAGAGATTTAGGATTAGGAAATATTGAAGAATCCACAGTTCCTTTATTACAACATCTTCTTAAAATTGCTCAAGCGGGAAATAATGTTTTAGATATAAATTTGAATTTAGACAATAATATTAGTGGCAGCTTTAAAGATGAATCAGTAGATATCAATAGCAGCTATAAGAAGACTGAAATGGATGGTAATTCACCTACGATAACTTCAAATACGACACAAACTCAGAAGAAGCTAAACTCAACTTTTGATGTAAATGCACTTGATAGTCATATTAGTAAACATACTAGACATACAAATGAAGTAAAATCTAATGCACCAGAAACTGTGAAAGAAAAAAATTTCAAAGATAGTAGCTCAGCAGTTGATTCAAATATTTCTAATTCTAACAACACTAGAAATCTTAATGATTTAAAATTAATTAATGTAGAACATGTGACAGATGAGCTAGGCAAGAAAAAATTTAATCTTGATGAAACTTTTGAAGTTAATATTCCTGACAATAATCACATTGATATTAATAAATCGAATGATAATAATGCAAATCTGAAAATACATCAAACTGTAAATGAAGATGATACATACGAAGATACTAGTTCTATTGCAGAGGATAGTGAAAATGGGATTTACTCAAGTTTAAAGGTAACAGAGATGGCAGTTAATTTAGTGCCTAGGAGTGACTTAAATGTTAATAATATAAATGAATCCATAACACTTTCTAAAGCAAAAATAGAAATTGAAAAAACAAAATATGTACCTCAAAGGCCGAAAACTATAGGTTGTCATGTAGAGCTACCTCCCCTTCCAGTCAGTAATAAGACTAAATTAAAGAATCAGATTTTGCCATCATTATATAATAAAGATTTTAAAGATAAAACAAATTTAAAGGAATTGGATAAACTATTTCATATGGAGGCTGAATATGAAGAAGACTTTATGTGTAATAATAGCAATGAAATTTCTATTAGTAATTCTAGTATACCATCAGTTGAGTCTAAAAATAGTTTATCGATTCATGTAAAATCTGAAGTATCTTCTGTTATTGATGAACCACATACTTCTGATATGTCAAGTGAAATAATACCATTTAAAGGGGTAGAGAACAATATGTCAAAAGATATAGTAAAAACTACAGAAAATGGAAATTCTATAATGGAGCACTCACTCTCTGAATAATATGTTTTGCTAAAAAGTACTCTATAAGAACAAATTTGTGACTAGTTAGCAAAATACTCGTATATATGTAATACTGCTTTACATTTATATAACTATAAGATTATCTGTTTTTAATATTTTTATTACAGTATTGCTCAGATAGTTGAAAAAATTGTGCCTAAAATTTAACTGTCCATATTAGATTTGGAAGTGCCTTGAAATGTTAACTATACTACATGCTCTTGAATAAGAAATAAAAATGATTATCAATTTCTGTAAACCTATTTATACAAAGGAAATTGTAATAGCTAAAACTATTTATTAAAGATAGTCTCTCCTTATTTATATACATATCAATAATAAGCCGTTATCGTGCCATAGTTCGGTTTAACATTCCTTTATTTTCAGTACTTATTAGATACTAATCAGTTAGCAATTTTTATTTTTTTTATGTGTGCCTTAAGAGTTTGTGATTTTTTTAATGGACTTAAGTTATTTGTAATAAACATAATGAGAAATAAAGTGTTTTTATTTCTAAACAATAAAATATCATATCATACATTGTAAATTTATTTAAATTCGCTAATATTAAATAAAACAAGGAGGCAAATAATAAAATATGCCTATATACAATACTTAATGTAAGTAAAAATGACTAAGATTACAAAACAGATTAACATTTTATTTTGTACAGTTTAAATGCCTTACAAATGTGTTCTTTCTCGTTGAATTCTCATACTATAAGCTTTAGAAACAAGATTCCACGAATCCATATACCTATCCATACACATTGCGACACATTTCTATAAAATAGCAAAATTACATCCCACCTACTATTATATACGTTTGTATAAAACATACCTGTTCAGAGCTATCTAAAGATGTTCCTGGTTTAGATATACATTTTTTAAAACATTTCTCAGTCATTTTCTAAAAAATATAAGATAGAAAAAGGTACGAATAAAAATAAAATTAATATTTGGTGAAATGTACCGTCAAAAGTTCTTGAGCGTTTGCAACTGCTATTTGTTGTTTAACTTGGTCCATAAGTTCATCTTTCTGGGCTCCTGTTAAACTAGATAAGTTATCCATATCTGTAATTTAAATATAAGCACCCTTTTAATTTAAGAAATATTTTAAAAAATATAATCGTGATATAAAATTTGTAGGTTAACTTCAAATAAGGTTATGTAAAAAGTGAAAAGGAGTGTATATTGTTCCGCTAACGGATCTCTATTTTTTAATTTTTTGAAAATTGCACCGTTATAAAACTAAAAAATAAAAAACTAAATATAACATAAATACAGATTTTTATGTTATATATATAGAGAGAAAATTAAATAAAACACGTATAAATAATCATCCCATAAATATTAAGCTATTTTAAAATATTTATTTCCTATATTGACCGGTATTAAAAGGAATCATGTTACAAGAAACAATTGAGAAATCAATATTTATTTTAAACGTAACGTCCTTCGTATTGATCGATAAATTAAATTGTGTAATTACATTTTTTAAACAATATGAATCTGAAAAATGTGTTTCAATTTCTCGAATTGGTGCCTAAAGTTCAACACGAGATCAAAGAGCAAGGCGAAATTCAATTTAAACACATTATAACTTGCCTCAAAGTTATTTCACATCTTTTGGAAATAACAAGAAAGCAAATGAGTCGGGGCCTAGATAAGGATATGAAAGTTATTTTAGATTTTGCTCAAATAAACCAAAATACAGAGGATACAGAATATTATTTCCTTGATATAAATAAAATTCTTCCAATACTTCAATATCGCATTTGCAACGAGCATGATTTAAATACATGCGTGCTAAAACTTTTTAATGATAGTTTAACATATATAATTAATATGCTTCTTGAATATGAAATGATGGATGCTTTTGATGTTTTTTCGAATTTGAAAGATGCGATTTTTGCATTTTCTAATGCAGTTGTACTTTTGGAAACAAAATTATTCAAAGAAGCTGTCATTCATTTTGCAAACGACTTGGTCAAAATATTAACGTCCTGCCACTTTTCTATTGATCAAACCAATGTTAAGGTTAGTATACTTACTTTTCTTTTATTTGTAAAAAGCACCTTTTTGTATTTGTTGTTTATTTTCTTATATTAAGTAATATTCTTATACCGTATACGTATGATAAAAAAACGCCGTTCAGTTGGCTTGGAAATGCACATAGATGACATTCCCCATATAATTTTACATATAAAATGACAGCGATCTTCATTTCATAGCCATCGGTAACGCCGTTTTTATTCGATATTTGAATAACATTACTTACTTAGAAAAAAATTTCAAAATTACCCAATCAGTTTTATTTTTTCAACGTTTTTCCGCGTAAATGAGATATATAATCATTATAAAATGAAAAAATGAAGAAAAAAATCAATAAAATCGCGCAACTGTTTTACAGATAACGACTGTACTGTTCTCCAAGCTAGGTCTACTACCGTTTTAATCGATGTTTCTCGTAAAAAATTAGACGACGCATCCCGTCAATAAAGAATCGACAAATTTGCAACTATAGCCAGGACATACTCGTCAAGTCAACGTGGACTCTTTGGCGTTTGGCATATACATAGCTAGCGATTGATTCAAATTTGTTCTGTAGTAAAATGATCATATTCCAATATTGTGTATGCATTCTTGAAATTCCTTTCATAGACACATATCCAGTTGTCGTATTTTACATGTTATATTATAAAAACTCGTTTAGATATACACGGGTGTCAAATATAGTGTGTGTAGACAGTGTAGAGTGTAGAGAGAGAATACGAAACCAAGGAAGGAGAAAGAAAATATGTGCGTGTATATTTGAAATGACAGAAAACCGTTAATTTCATATTTCTTTCGCTGGACAAACTATAATCTACTCTGTGCTGAATTGATATTCATTCAAATGAAGAATTAAAACCCAAATGTTATTGTAGGTATTATAATTATTCGACATTCTTGTTTCTGTTCACGATAGGGATGAAATCGGGACTCTATAATATAGGAGCGCGATGCGACGCGACGGCTGGAGCGAAATACAAAAATACCGCCCCAAAATCGCGTTACTCAGATACTGACACTTCACTAATGCAAAGTGATTAGAAAGGAAGCCAAAAATGCAATAGTAGACAGGGTGTTTCATTTAAAAAATAATCCCAGTTCATTTACGCTTTTTGAGCCACCCCGTAGAAAATATATTTTCTTCCTAAAATACATTTAATACAAACTTAAGGCACAGAGTATACTTGTATAGAGGTTTGCACTTAAACAAAATTCCTAAGTTTTTATTATTATAGGACATAGCTAAGATAGCCGACGACGCTGGACTATTACAGGGCCCTCTGTATACAGGGTCCGGCAAAAGTGTGTCAGGAATCTGTAGCCCTTAGAATAAAAAAAACTGGAAATTTTGTTTAAGTGTTAACCTAAAGCATGTACTAGGATGTATTTCAGGAAAATATTATAACTTCTACAGGGTGACTCAGAAGGTGTGAGTGGATCGGGTTGATTTTTTTAAATGGAACACCCTGTATATTGTTACATTTTTGGCTTCCTTTCAGATCACTTTACATAATCCTAAGTCCATAATGCTAAGTCAGCCTTTCTTAATAAAAATTATTAAAAATACAAGAACTGTCCCGAAGTCAAAATTATGTTATGTATTTACGTTAGATGGTCTGTACTTACTTTGCTATAAATATCGTAATCTTATCATACAAAGTTCTACGCCAAACTTTCTTAAATATAAAATAAATTTTTTTGGTTTTTTTTTAATGGAACACACTGTATATTATTTTTTAGTAAATGGAGAATTAAAAATGAACATTTTTTGTATTTAGAATATTTCAAAATTTTTAACGGTTTCGCAGAGTTTTATTCGCAGTTTTATATTTCACATGGCATTTTCCATAGTAAACTTTTATCAAAGCCACCCAATGATTTTTCTTGTATTTACATTGTGTTCCATTTAAAAAAAAAGAAGAAGAAAATCTATACTGATATATAAAATCCTTAAGTGACTTAAGGATTTTATGTATCAGTATATATATATTATTCTTCGTCTTTTTTTTTAAATTATTAGTATAGATATGATTAATCACGATCCTGCTCAAACCACTCAACGTAAGAAACTCAATTTTGGCAAACAGGTTGATTCTAGGGTGTAGAGGTTCGATAAGAAGGGATTTTTCGAAATTCCAGTTCGAAGGGTGTGAAACCATAAGGTGAAATCACCCCACAAATATTACAATATTTTTTATTTAAAAAACGATCAAGTTTCTGAAAAAACGCTTAAACACGTATATTTTATTTTTTTTTTTTTTAACATATTTTAAGATGTTACAAAATGTAACAGGGTGTTTCGAAAAATCTGGTCATTGATTTATCACGATCCTGCTTAAAGCACTTGACGTAAAAAGCTGATTTTTGGAAAACGGATTGACTTTAGGGTGTGGAGGTTCGATATAAGAAGAGATTTTTCGAAACTCGAATTCTATAGTGAACTAGAATCTAAAGGGTGTTTATTTTTTAAATATGACCATTGAGTAATCAGAAATTCTGCGTAAACATGTATATTTTATTTTGTTGTTTTACATATTTTAAGATTTTTTAAAAGTTATACAGGGTGTTTCATAAAATATGACCATTGAGTAATCAGGATTCTGCTTAAGCTTGACGTTTAAAGGTGATTTTTGGCAAACGGATTGACTGTGGGGTGTAGAGGTTCGATAAGGAGGTGTTTCTCGAATCTCAAATTCCAAGAGGATGAAAACGCCCCTCAAATATTACAATATTTGTTATTTAAAAACACGGTTAGTCTTTCGAGAAAACTCTTGGACACGCATAATTTTTTTTTGCATATTTTGAAATTTTTTTAAAAATCATACAGGGTGTTCCAAAAAGTTGGGTAATTGATTAATCACGATTCTGCTTGACGTAAAAAGCTTATTTTTGGCAAACGGATTTTTCGAAAGTCAAATTCCAACGAGATGAAACTACCTCTCAAATATTACCAAGTTATATAATAATATCGCCATATTGTTTTTTCTCATGCTGACATAAATGTGAGAAAATTTTATCCAGTTTGTATGTTAATGGAAATTCTTGCTTTCCTGCTTTGAATCACCATTATAAATTATTAATTCGACGCGAACGAAGTCGCGGAATAACACGCTAGTTATTCTATATTTTAGAAAGTTTGGCGTAGAATTTTGAACACCCTGTTTGATTACAGTTGGGGTTGGAAACTTTGGTGTTACACACCAAAATAAAACACTAAATCGCCACAATACACCAAAACACTTTTACACTGGACGCGCGTTTCGTTAACCATGTTAGCATCATCATCAGCACATGATCAAGACTGACAAGACTGAACCATGGACTGAACCACGACTGAACTAAAATCTACAATTTGAACGTTTATATACTCGCTCAGTGGGTACCGAGTGGGCGTGGCAAGATCTAGCCAACCGAGTCAGAGCCCATCGAGTGTAACAATTAAATTTCCGGTAGTAACATGATACAAGGAGGGTTAGATAAGGTATTACAAGGGTATTACGCATGTAGTGGGCGGAGCTTAACAGAAAATTACTATCCGGGTGATGTCATGTGCGCGGAGAACCGATTTGCCACCGCCGGGGATCTTTTGAGAGAAGATATTGCGCATGGAATTGGCGGAGCTTAACAGAAAATTACTACCCTAGTGACGTCATGCGCGCGGAGAACAGATTTGCGACCGCCAAGGATCTTATCTAACCTTCTTGTATCATGGAGTAGTAGGAACCCGTTAGGTTATTTTCTATGGTAGGAACAGAGAACTGAAAGGAACTGGATCGTTGTCTCTGTTCATACTATTTTTACATTTATTAATTTTGATGCTTTCATATGTATCTAATTGCCTGTAATTTGAGACTTGTTTAATTAATTTAAAATTATGCCCTATACGGTAATATTAATTATATACGGTTTAAGTGCATAATTACTTTCATTAATAATGACAATGTTTTGTAGATCCGTTGTATTATAAGCAAAATTATAACAGAAATTGCAAGCCTGCCTGTCTTTGAAGACGCAGTTTTACGCCTTCTGCTAAGGAGATTAAAGAATATATTGTCTTATTTTGAAGCAAATGAAGATTTCGACTGTTTAACTTGCCCAACAGTATCTATCCTGGAATTTTTATTATACACAAGTAAAATAATCTTGCAGAAGTCTTCTCATTTTGGGATACATTCGGATTCCAATTTGATAGTACAGTTTAGATATACTGTCGAGAGTATTAATAGAGTTTTACATACAAAAATTCCAAATGTACTTAAAAATGTTTTAGAATACATTGATTAATATCCAGACGTACTAACTAAAAATGTTTTATTTCTGTTCTTTTTATATATTATAGAAAATTACATTTTAGAAAGTTTGTTGACAATAAAGACAATCTTAAATAAATTGATAATTTTATTGTCCAATCCCCTTATGTAATTTCAAGCAAATAAAGTACAGTACGTCTGTCCGTTCTATAGCTACGGGGTATCCGTGAGAGGGGAAACGATATTCTCTCGATGTTTTTCGTAAAAAATTAGAGGACGCGTCTCATCAATAAAAATTCGACAAATTTGCAAGTAGCCAATAAAATGAGTGGGCGGAGCGATTTGCGGTGACGTACTCGTCAAGTCGACGTATAAAATATATTGTTGTTTATTTAAATGTTTTTTGTCCGCATTCCTTTCATAGACACAGATTCAGCAGACGTACTGTAAGACCGACAGCTAAAAATATAGGCTTGGTGCATTCTTCGTCTGTGTTACAAAAAACTGTAAAATACATCCAAAACCATTCTTGAGATTTTTGTGTTTTTAAAGGCATTTAAGGGTAAACAATGAGTTTTTATACAAACTTCTTACTAGTTTCACCTACACTAATTTTGGCTTTTTTTTAATAATTGTAGGCTCATGCATCATTAAAAATATTAGTTTAGTGGAGGAGTGAATCCATTACGAGGAAAATGAAAAAGTACCGAAAGTTATTGAAAAAATTTGGTTGTTACTAAGTTACGAAGTCTTTTCCGATGCTCAGAATCAGATGAGTTTAGAAAAAAATGGGGAGGTTTTTTTTTCTCTGACCGTGAAAAGTAAATTAAAAACTTGTCATTATATTAAACATGTTTTATGAACAAATACCACTCTTGGCTTAATTGCAAATTCATACTATCAGGCAAGATCTTTAATGCCCGAGAAGATGCCGATCTCCATCAGCCAGGAACTTGTCGTGGAGAAGGCCCCTTAAGCCATTTAGTGAAGTATCATATAAAACCTAAGAAACGACGAGTTACACATCTCATAAGGTCTACCCCAGCAGAAGAGTTAAGTTTTTTCGGAGAGCATAAGTCCAACATCTAGTAGTTAACCCGAGGTTTACCCCAACCAGAATACTGTTTATCTCCAGAAAAAAAACTGTAGCATTGGTCTTGGATTTAGATCTTTACGAGCGAAAATATTGTTTACTATGAAAAGTTTTGAATGCTGCTCATCCAGATCACAAGACCTGTTTTCCAAGTAAACACATCTTGAGAATTTTGTAGATGCAACAAAATATTTAATTTCTTTACTTATTTTTAAGATAAATACAGATCTCTCTTTGGGTTATCTTATTTTTACTAGTTTTTATACATCCTTTAATAAATACCACCAACAACAAACAACACTTTAGGCATTGTTTCGATTTTTGTCCACATTGCCCATTTAAGTGGAGCACTGTGCGTCGCGTCGTCTATCGACGAGCGGGCCAAGGTTGCCATATTTCAATCATAAAGCTCTTGCCTCGAGTAATAAACAGATTTAACAGATTAACAACCTGTATATCTACAAATACACGGGTTTAAATAGCGAGTATACGAAAAATTTATTATATAATTATTCTAAAAGTGTTAGGAAGTATAATATGCAAAAATTCTAAAAATAAAAAAAAAAGTAAATATTTTGATATCTTCAGAAGGTCGGTATTGTAAAGACACATTCAGGCTGAGAGCGTCGAGCGTCGCGTCGCGTTTGCGCGCGTCCGCCCCATTGAACTCGAACCCCGACGCTCAGCGGACGCTAGCGCAACGCAAAACGCGACCGTGTCTGCCTGAACGGTCTAATTTAAGTTAAGCGAATTGATTCCATTTCGATACGCGAACGCAACGCAAACGCGACGCGACGCTCGACGCTCCCAGCCTGAATGTACCTTAACTTGTATTATAATTTATTATTCCAGCTAAAAACACTTTTTAGGTGAGTTCAACAACATTACATCACACAAACCTCGTACCTGTTTTATAGTCTCAATAACTGCACTAGCAAAAAACTAAAATACTTAAATATTATGACAAAGCCACGATTTCAATAGTATTTTAATGCGATCCACATGAACAGTAACCGGGACGGCTTGAAATACGTAGGGAAAATTTCTGATTTCTGCCGTATACAGCGCTACGGTCGGTTTTTTTTTAAATCATCTGAAATGCACCAAGCCTATACCAAAGCAGGGTTTGTACATTATTGTATAATATGTAAAATTATATTATGCTTAAATCAAAAATTTTCTTTCAAATGTTATGGTCAAAAAAAGCAGTAGCTTCATATTGCTGCTATCTCAATCGTTGCCCGATGTTGTTGATTCTTGATTCAGATAATTGCTTACTCACACCTGCTTTTTGAAACTGCTGTTTCAAAAAATAATGTGATATAGGCGACCACATCACGAGCTATCGGTGTCCATAATATTAAAAAAAATATATGTATATTATTTGTACTGTGTAAAAATATGGCAGATTATGTTCATGACAAAAAATAGTTTCTATACCTATATCTTGGCAACTTTTATATATCTTACTTAAAAATCAGGCTTCATAATATTATAAAATTTATTTCTAAACAATTTATTAAATGGAATGTTTGATATCACGATATGTATATTTATTCAGTTGAAACACAAAAAATATAATTTAGTAGTAAACATTTCAATATTTCCGGTAATTTAGCTTGGAAAAGACGATCTCCGTCATTTTATATGTAAATATATTCTCCATTAACGATCGTAATTTCGAAGCTATCTTGACGTCGTTTTTTTCGCTAATACCGTAGATTTCCATATTGTTAGGCTTTCCATTACGCCAACAAGTAGATGACAATAACTTAGTTAATAGAAAGATACTTCCATAACACTTGTATCTTCTAAAAATTAGTGACCAGTAAATATGAACGACATTTCTAAGATATAAAATGAAAAACGAAATTCATTAAAAAACATTATATATTTTTCGTTATATATCTACAGTATACATATTATATATACATAACATATATATTCATACCCATATATATACATAATATATATATATATATATTCATACCCATAGCACACTTCATTCGTGGCATGGTTTTAGATAAAAATTGTTTTAAAGCTACCGTTTAAAAGATTATAATATGTATATTATTTGTACTGTGTGAAAAATATGGCAGACTGTGTTAATGAAAAATAGTTTCTGTACCTATATCTTGACAATTTTTATACTACATCTTACTTGAAAATCAGACATTATAATATTAAAATTTATTTCTAAACAATTTATTAAATGGAATGTTTGATATCACAAAGTGTATATTTATACAGTTGAACACAAAAAAATATAATTTAGTAGTAAAAATTTCAATATTTGTGCAATTTGGCTTGGAAAAGACGATCCCTGTTTTTTTATATGGATTCTCGATTAACGATCGTCCTTCCCGAAGCCATCTTAACGTCGTTTTTTTTCGATAATACGGTACATTTCAGTATTGTTGGGTTTTCCATTACGCCAAAAAGTAGATGACAATTACTTAGAAATCTATATTTTTAAGACAGATTTTTTTAACAAAAATATCTTTTTAGCGTTTCAGGAAAATCTATCTAATTATTTCGCTATAACGAAATACCAAAATATTTTCTTGTTAACAACTTGGTTGCATTAAATAAACTTTTTAATTAATAGAAAATAATGGTAAACAATAGGTGCGTCTCAAAAGTGACCCACCCCCTGTAACTTTTTTATTTTTTCAGATAAAAACCGAGATTTAGTATGTTAGTATATGACATAAATTAAAATTGATTGAAGTATTTAATTGTTTTTGGTCACTTCCTGTTTCACCGGAAATGATTACAACATTTGATTTTTAAATTTAACTTAATAACACCTACTTTATTCGATAGAACATTACACTATTGTTGCGGACCAGTGTGAACCCGGTCTAAGCCGACTAATAAGCTTGGCGCCGTTCAAGGACGAATGGAAAAATCTCGGCTACTACGGATTATTCGAGAACTCTTAAGCCGGAGTCTCATGCATCCGAAATCCGATGACACGACGATCCGACGGTGCTCCTATTGGTCGAAATATTTTGACAACAATTTTTATCCGATAATTTTAACTAATCATCCGACGTCGTATAAAGTTAAATTTTGTTTAACTTTTGTACGATATCGTGTGTTTCTTAACCTCACTTTTTTTGAAAACATTTGTTTTTAAAAACAAGTTTAGTGGGAAGTGGGCAATTTCGGGATATTTGGCGAGGAAGTTATTTTTATAAGTGTTTCTCCAATAAAACATGACATGAATCTCTATTCAGCGCAGCAGAAAAATGTTAAAACTGTCAAATTTCGGAACGAACTTTCGGATGTATGTGACAGGCTTTTTTTATTTCACACGATAACTTCAAATTTCGGATGTCGTACCATCGGATTTCGGATGCATGAGACTCCGGCTTAAAGCCGGAGTCTCATGCATCCGAAATCCGATGACACGACGATCCGACGGTGCTCCTATTGGTCGAAATATTTTGACACCAATTTTTATCCGATATTTTTAACTAATCGTCCGACGTCGTATAAAGTTAAATTTTGTTTAACTTTTGTACGATATCGTGTGTTTTTTAACCTCACTTTTTTTGAAAACATTGGTTCTTAAAATCAAGTTTAGTGGGAAGTGGGCAATTTCGGGATATTTGGCGAGGAAGTTATTTTTATAAGTGTTTCTTAATAAAACATGACATGAATCTCTATTTAGCGCAGCAGAAAAATGTTAAAACTGTCAAATTTCGGAACGAACTTTCGGATGTATGTGACAGGCTTTTTTTATTTCACACGATAATTTCAAATTTCGGATGTCGTACCATCGGATTTCGGATGCATGAGACTCCGGCTTTATGCTGTGGGTATATAAACCGGCTGGAGCCCGAGGAGGACAGAAATAAATAGACGAGTACAGTTGACGCGCTAAATTCAAAATAAATTCTTTCTAGATAAATAGTTATAAATCGTTTGTAAATAGTTCTTTAAGTCTTCTATCGTTATTGTTTTTGTTAATTAGTGTTAAATAAATTGTGTTTAAATAAATTGTGACTTTCTATCCACACGGAACCAACGAAAAAATGTAACACTAAGTATGAATAGAATGACATCATATGTCAACTTTTGACGCATATGGTTTATTTGACATTGTAACATACGGTTCATAACCACAATTATTAACCACTATTCGCAAAAAAAATATTTTTTCAAATATACTAATGAGCCACCCTTGTTCCATTTGAAAAAAATTGAGATATGATTAAAAACACCATTTAGGCATATTTTGACCGGTCAGGACAAACCACAAAAAATATTAGACAATCAAAACTATTTTTCCAATGCTCCTTGATTAATTAGTGCTTTTAACACAGCCATGACACTTTAGATTGAAATTTAAAACACGATTTTTTAAGCAAAAATGTCAAAAATTGACATGTGATATGTCATTCCATTCAGAGTGTCATTTTCTATCGAAGAAAGTGGAAATATACAGCGGGTATCATTTAAAAAACAAAAGTTTTAGTCATTTCCGGTGAAACAGGATAGGAGCAAAAACAATTGAATACGTCAATCAATCCTAATTTATGTCATATACTAACATACCAAATCCCGTTTTTTATATGAAAAGATAAAAGGGGTGAACTGGTTTCGAGACGCACCCGGTATACGTAGTTATAGGTTTCAAACATAATTTAGGTATCATGCTGTTGACATATTGACTGTTGATAAATTTAGCTTAGATACAGACACATATAGGGAAATTAAAATAACTTTGGTTGCACATCATAATACGACCACCAGCAAACTCCATAAGACGACGCACGGTGTCATTGATGACGTGCACCCAAAGTTGTTTTAATTTCCCTATAGGTGTAATATGTACAGCATTTAAATAATTATAAAATGAATTGGTAAACACTACTGTATGATCGAAAAAAGAGGGCGTCGTGTTGGTTTGGAAATGACAGCGTTGTTCATTTCCAGCCAAACTATGACGCCGGTTTTTTACAAATTGGCGTTATAACTTTTTTCCATTCTTTATCATTTTTTTGTATATTTTCAGTTATTTCAGAGAACATTTTGAAGTCTATATATAAAATTGTACAAAATACTTAACTTAAAAATTAACATAGATAATGTATAGATAAATAAAAAAAATGCTAGACACTAAGTTCGTAAGTACAGGCAATAAAGGCACTGAGTTAAATTTGTAAAAAAATCTCAATAGATTTTTTTGTACATTATAAGATTTAGTATTATGTTTATACTGTGCTTGACATGTGCTTATTGCTGATTAACCTAAAGTTTCAGTTAAATATTTGAATTTTTAGTATTTTGAGATCAGTTTAGTATAGTTGGTTACAACCTGTATGATTGACAACTAAACTATGGCCAAAGAATACAATACGAATAGAAAAAAAAACGGCGTCAAAGAGATTAGAAATAACGATTACTGTTAATTCATATGTAAAATTATATCGGGAATGACATCGATCGCGTTATCATAAAGTAATATTGTTATTTCTAAGCCAACTGGACGCCGTATACGTATATTTCTTAACAAAAAAAATATAGTGGCTACCATAGATAACACATAGAATATATTGTTATCTGTGGTGGCTATGTATAAACCAGGCAGCAACGTTACCAATCATTTTTCCATCAACGAAACCATTCATCCTGACCTACACTCGCTGTGAATGCACGTCTACACCTGAGGAAGATTTCCTCGCGAATGCGAACGAATGGTACTATTCGACAGGTCTGTTCTTGGCTTTACAATGATACAATAGCCCCCCATACACCAACATATAAGTTGGACATATAAGATTTGGTTCGTCTCGATTTATAATCTAGTAAGATTGTATCGCCGTATAGAGAGTGAAAATAAAAAAATTACGGGCAAGCTGATTTTTTCAGAGTTTGTCAGCGACTGTCTTCTGAGTGTAAAATTAACAAAATCGGAAATTTTCCCCTTGCGGTTTTTGAGCAATAGGGGTGTTTTTTTTTAAACTGTACTACAACAAAATAATTAGACGCAAATTGTACATAAGAACATTCTCTATAAGTTCGCCTAATGATTTTTTTTATAAGTTTATTATTTCCGGACTTAGCGGCCGTTTCATGAGCCCTTTGGGGTGGTTTTCAAAAAGTTTGTTTTACAGCAAATTGACCCGTATGAAAGTTGTTCATAATAAATGGACAAGCAACTTTCCTTCATTAATTTTTTTTGTAGCTTGATTATTTTTGGAGATAGCGTCCAGTTCATGAACAAATTAGGGTAGTTTTCAATGTTACTCTTTTTTCAGCAAATTCACCCTAGGAAACTCGTTCAAAATAAGAGGTATATGTACACCTTTGCCTTATATACTATATTTTGACGATGACGACTTTACTTCATACGAAGCAACAAAAGAAACCAACAATAAATCTGAGGAACCAACGCCAGGTCCATCACACAAAAGAAGACGATACAAATAAAAAAAAATCATAATATTCATTCACTTGATGAATTCCATGTTTCGTTTTGGGGAAATAAATACATATCACAGAGAAGTTTGCATGTAATTTTAATATGAACACCTTTAAGTTGGTAAATTTGTAGAACTAAACAAAAATTATGAAACTACCCCAATTTGTTCATGAACTGGACGCTATCTCCAAAAATAATGAAGCTACAAAAAAAATCATGAGGAAAAGTTGCTTGTCCAGTTATTATGGCTTCCATATCAGTTTACAATGATACAATAGCCCCCCATAGACCAATATATAAGTTTTGGTTCGTCTCGATTTAGTCGCTGGATGATTATGCTCGGTACGTACAAAAAACCTTAGTCATTTTGGGCAGGCAAATCTGGCTTGCCGGCTAAAGGTTGATTCTCACTATACCTTCCATATCAGCTCCATTCCGTTTCCCTTCCGTTAACATAAAATATTATATGATGTAAATGAACATTCCGAATAGATTTGCCAGCCAGCTGCCCTCAAGAAGGTTGTAATTGAAGTGAAACTCCTTTATGCGCACTGGGGTAAAATTCAAGGCCGTAACACACGAGCTAGCAAGACGGCCGTGACCATAGGCCGTGACACACGAGCTAGTGGTAACGGCTTAGGTGACGCGATGTGTATTTGTGAGCAGTCCATGTGTTTATTAAAAATTTTGATATTTTAATACAATTTTTGTGAAAGCGAATTAAATAATTTTTTATTTCTATTTTTTACGCATGAAAAACTATTTTTAACGCGTAAAAATCTATTTGTTCCACGTCAAAAACTACCGTATGATCGAAAAAAAAACTGCGTCAGCGATGGCTATGAAATGAAGATCGCTGTCATTTTATATGTAAAATTATATGGGTAATGTAATCAATGTTCATTCCAAGCCAACTGGACGCCGTTCGTTTCGATCATTCCTTAGGTATACGTTACACGCAAAATACTATTTTTTACGCGTAAAAAAATATTTTCTTTAATTTACTACTTTTTCAACATTTCAAACTACACATTTTCAAACATGTCCTTTAAATCCTTCAATTTATTAGCTGCGGTTTTGTCCCGTGACAGTTTTAAATAGTTTTATCCGCACATTTGGCCCATGTCATATCAAATTGGCCAATATACCCGCCGGTGTATGGGGTTTTTGCTCTTTATGAATGAATTTTTCCTATAATTTGTTTTTTTTACATATATCGTTGGCTTGCACACAAAGGGACGTATCTCCAAATTTGTTTTATTGTGGTCATACAGTCATACATCAAAATTGGTGTTCTCCATGATACAAAGAAAACAAGGTATGATATTGCGCAGGTTTGGTGATTACGTCACAGGTGCTAACTGCTCCATTGGTTGGCAAGCACACATAATAAATGGGGAAATGTCAAGCTCAATGATTTGACATAACTTTTGAGGTTATGTCTTAATTCTTCCCTATTTAGGCCTTTTTTATTAGTGACAATTGAACAATATGGATATTTCTTTGTATGGCGTATGACGTCACATGTGGTATGCGCAAACTGAACGAAATTGTAGCTGCTATCGATCATACCTTGTTTTCTTTGTATCATGGGTGTTCTCATAGAGTTAAAAATTGTGTTCTCTAGCCTCTAGCTGCCCTCAAAAAGACATAACTCATTCTACCATTATTCCTGATTTATTTACTTAAGTTTACAACTAATTTAGAATTGCTTTCTCACAGTAAGTTTCTCTTGGGCCAACATTTTAGAATTGCATAAATTACAGAATTTTCAGATACACTCCTGTGTATGCAAGTCGACGATATTTGAGCATATCCAATATAATAACTATAATTATAATAAAAAATTGCATTATTTAAATATGTACTATTTACCTTAATAAGTAACTATTTTACCTTGAAGTAGGTTAAAAAAGGGCAAATATCAAAGTTTACAGAATATATTCTGTAAACTTTGCAATTCTACTTTAGTACATTTTTTGTTTTTTAAATACTATTTATAGATATAACATAAATGTTAGAGATAATGATTTCTGAATAACATATTCACAAATCACTTTCTTCTTTAAGTAGCAAATATTATTTGAAATCCTTAAGTCTTCATGTAAATTGTTTTTTTTTGCTTGATCATTTGTTTTTTCATGACAATAATTTTATGTAAAAAGTTTTGATAATAAAATTTTTGAAAAACAATTTTAAGATTAGTTTTGCCGTTTAGCCATCGTAATATTTAAGCAACTAGCAAAGAAGAATATAATCCATCCAAAACAAGATGCTATTATTCCAAGGATCAACGCTAGTCCAGTATTAATGTATCCATTACGATATGCATTTTCACTATCTAATTGCATATAGTCCATGAAATCAAATACCGACTGGCAATGTAACCTTCTATGTATTACAGGTAAAATCGTCCCATGTACACTTAACAATTTCTCTAACATTTTCCTATATTCATTGCAAGTAGTGTAAAAGCCGTCAAGGAATATAGCAAAATGAACGAGAGCATAAACAAAAAATATGGATGTTAATACTGACATGGTAATCCAAAAACAGCGGTATAAAGAACTTATATCTTCCTGGGCTATGGTTTCAATTTGAACAGATGACCCATGACTAAAACAAAAGAATCAAGTCAATATAATGTCACTACAGTCTCTGCTACAGTTTGTCATAGATAAATGCAACAAATTTAGATTGGAAAGCCCGTAAAAATTTTGGATCGCGAAACTATTTTGGGTCGCGACCGTTATATGCGATCTGGCGCTGCTATTGCGGTCGCTAAGAACAACGGCAAACAAAAACAGAAATAATTTTCTCTTGTCAAAGTCAGAATCTTCAAAAATCATAATAATCTTTCAAAATCTAAACCGCTCTCATTAAAGAAATTCCAAAAAGTGTTTATAGCGTCCATTTTCAAAGTAATTATTGCTATCTTGTGAGTTTAATTCAAGTTTTATTTACTCCAACCGGTGATAATTGTGAAAAAGTGGCATTAAAAACTTAAAAAGCTGTGCTGTGAACTGCAAAACCATCGTGGATCGTGGCATAACGTCGGTTTCCAATGTTTCATAGGTATTTCATACATGCGTCCTTATATAAAATAAAGTTTCTTGTATGCAACACACTGTATTTTATTTATAAAATTAAACGAAAATAATAATAAATTTGAATAAACAATATTTGGCGATATAATTCCGGAAAAAGCCGAACCGCTCCGAAATTTTCAAAAGTTTTGGGTCGCGACCGTAAGAATAGCGCCAAATAGTGTTTACATTGTCCTTATGGGCACTTTCCAATCTAAACTTGTTTCATTTATCTATGCAGTTTGTTTCTTACTTCATTCTAGCAATAACAGATCTTTTAGTTCTCATTTTTGGAGATTTGGTAGTAAATAGTACCCTGTATCCATGAAAACAAGTCATGCAAATGGCTAGAAATACATAAAGAAGAGGTCCATAAGTTATCCATATGCACGGAGCTTGTCCACCACCTAGAAATGAACCAAAATTGTGGCTTATAAAGGTAATGTTTTATGACAATGATGATACTTACCCAGAAATCTAGAAAATGTGTTTTGTCCATACAAGATACAACTGCAATTTCGGCCTATGCCACATTGATCTAAACTGAGATACCAATGACCCCATGCTATACCAGTAGTAACAGATGATATTATACCCATAATAGCACATAATAAATAAGAAATCGTTAGTCCTTTTTCAATACTTAACTGGTCCATGATTGTATCCGTTTTACCGTTTTTGTCAATTAATTACAGATATATAAAACGCCTTTGTTTATAAATTAATCATGAATCATATTTATGTCAATATTCTATCGATTGAACGTATAAAATTCTGTCTAAATTTTGTCAGCTACCTTTGATTGTACGTGCAGACCTTTTAAACACTTCATTCGTTCAGTATTTACAACCATAAATTTACAACCACAACTTTGTTTACCAACAGTACAAATTAGAAATCTGTGCTAACATGAAACATGCTCTCTATTTCTTTTACACCACCTAGCAGTCATCTGTATAACTGGTTGCATTTTGCATTCTTTAAGGGTTTTTATTTTTTATTCCTTTATCTATGAAGGGGCATTGGCGTAACTACAGTGGTGCCAGGGGGTGCCGGGCCCCGGACCCCCCCCCCCCAGGTACTGCTGGGCACCACCCAGAGAAATCTTGAATTATGACTCTTGGCTACGTATTAATTTTTATTTGCTTGTGATGTAGTAAAAATGACGTTTTCTAGTTTTGTTTAGTTAAAATTATTTTGTTGTGTTCAAAAAATGTGTTAATTTTTTTTAAAAATTTGTAGGTATTTAAGTAATCTACAGGAACGCGGTTTGATAACCAATAAGTCTATGAAATTTATTGATAGAGAAATTCTTGTAAACGTTTTATTCAAAAAATGTGTTTTTTAATATTATTCTTCATTTTTTAAAGAACAAAAGACCTAGGTCCCCCTGGCTCGACCTCAAGCCCCCCAGGATGAATTGCTAGTTACGCTAATGTGAAGGGGCCGCTCAGGAACCGCTGACCCCCAAACAAATTATAAAAAAACAATTTCGAAATCGTTTGCTAAATTTGACACGCAGTGTTTGGATCTGGATACAAAGCAGTTGTACATCTTAAACGTTTGCATAATGCGTTATGTATAGGGTTCAGAACCGAAAATTCTCCGTCCAGAAAGTACCGGTGTGGTACCGGTAATTTTCTGTTCTTTTGAGTCATCAAAGAACCGGGATTCGGCACTTTAATTGACGATACATTCGGGTCTCAGTAACAATAATTCAAAAATCCTTTGTGGTTACCTACGTACGAAAGTCTTTTGAAACTTTCTAGCGGTCAAAATCAAACTCATCGAAATAAGTAGTGATGCTATTTCTTAGTTTTATTAAAATAAAAAATTCAATATGATCGAAAAAAAACGGCCTCAACGATGGCTATGAAGATCGCTGTCATTTAATATGTAGAATTACATTGGGAATGTCATCGATGTTCATTTCCAAGTCAACTGGACGCCATTTTTTTTTTTCATACGGTATTAGTTACACCCAGGTTACACCCTTGTTACACTATACGATAAAAAACGGCGTCAAAGACGGCAGGGGAATAACAATCGATGGTAATGTTGACGAGGTCAAGCCCTACACGACGGGAGGAGATACCTCCTGAAACGTTAAGCATTTTTTTGACCCTTAGGCAAATTTGTCTCTTTAGGAAAATACGCCGTTGACAAATTGATCTCCGTTGAATTAACACAGCGGTGTTAACAAAAAATAAATATTTATTTTGTAGATTTTCTTACAGCGCAAGTGGCGAAATACCCTGACGACTTTTTTCTAGCGGTAATTAAAATATAACTGTAATGGCCGATTTCCACTAGGCGCTCAAGTCACAGTACGCTCACTGTCCGCTCACGGTCAAAATTTATTATTCAATGTACTAATTTATACGGAGCATCCACATTTGCAAATCCGCTCACGGTACGCTCACGCTCTTTGACCGCGTAATTTCTCGGAGACAATATTTTGAACAGATCGAGACCTGACTGTCGGATGACTGGACGGCAGTGTGAATATAGTGCGATCAGGTGTCGGCCAAATTCTGTTCTGATTCTGCGCTTGGGGTAAATACTTTCTTCCCTGTGAATGTGTTTTTCAAATTTTCAATATAAAATGGATGAACAAATGATAGAGGCAGTGCGTGACAATGCAGAATTGTATTGAATTGTTGAACGCAAAAATTCGGAAAAATCAGAAAAAGAAAAAGATCATTTAGATCTATTTTTCGATAGTATTAAGGCAACGGTGCGTAATTTTTCACCCGCCGATATTCACACGACTAAAAAACAAATATTTAATTATGTGTCCGATATTGAAGACAAATATATTTGGATGCGTGGCCGTGGCCTAATAATGATCGGGGCTGTGCTGATCAACCTGCTTCAAATTCCACTTCCTGTCATAATTTTAATACGATCGAGCAGCCCCAAAGATACCAACAAGACTCCGTCCATGATTTCCAATCCACGTCCAGTTTCATTTGCATCGAGCAGCCGCAAAGACATCTCAAGACTCCCTCCATATCGCTCAATCCACTTCCAGTCGAACTTTTAACAGCATCGAGCGTCTCCAAAGACACCAACAAGACTCTCTCCATGATTTTCAGTCTACTTCTGGTCCTAGTTTTAATAGAATCGAGCAGCCCCAAAGAGAATACCAAAAATTACCACTTCAAACAAACACTGATGGTTCTGTAACTACGTCTACCCCACTTTCCTCAGCAGCGTCATCATATTATGAAGATTTCTCGTGTGAAGAACAAATATAATTTCACAGCTTTGTAGGTATTATTAAAAATAAAAGGGTTTTGTAGGTGCCTATAATCCGATTTGTATTCAATTTGGTTTTTAACAATAACTTTATTTATTAAAATAAGTTATTTTCTTACCTTAAACAAACAAAAAGGTGGTATTTTTTCTTATCAAGTCCGACGAAATTTTATTTAAAATATAATAAAATGCGCATTTCGTCATACAAAAGTATTGAAAAAATTTCATTTCGTCATCCACAAATTCTTTATGGAAAGTGAAAAATTCACCTTCGGTTTTTTTTAACATATCATGGACCCATATCTTCCGTTTCTTTTTATTTTCATACTCTTCTTCATCCAAACATATTGCAATAGCAGCTAATTCACTATTCGAAAAGCTTTTAAACATTTTTTAAAATCAGTTTTACAACTTCGCGACCACACAAGATTGAACGACGTTTGATTGAAGAGTGTAAATACTGTCGAAAAATCTTGACCGTGAGCGGACCATGAGCGTACTGTGACCTGATCGCCTAGTGGAAATCGGCCTTAATGGCATAAACTAATTAAAGTATTTCTTTAAGTGAGGTTGGCGTTTTGTACAGGGTGTCCCATTTTGGTTGAACGCAAATGGTATCTTCGTTATTAGTAAAGATAGGGGGATGCAGTTTGCACAAACCTGTCCCACTTTTTTGTCAAACGGAAGATGCTGTAAACAAAGTTTTCATAGCCCTCTTCGTTTGTGAGCTACAGGGTCTTTTGGAAAAATTGGCATTTTCGGACAGCCCTCGTATCTCCGTTATTATGGATGATATCGAAACGGTGGAAACTGATTCTTGTAGAAATTTTTACGTAGAATACAGTGGCGTGGCCTGTTTTTCTATTAAAAAAAGTATTTTTGAAAAAATGAACTTAAAGTTATGTTTTTTTTTTCAAATGGAACAGCCTGTATATTTATATATCACTCTATATTTATTTTTCCTATTTACTGTATACTTTATATCTAAAATACATATATCATTTTTTATTTTCTTATTAGTAGGCCATGATAAATAATAAAAAAAATCAAAATTGTATTTACTAAAATAGTCATACACATATTAAAATTTTATTTGGGATTGATTTTACTTTTGAACTGTCTGAATATATTTTTCATTTTTTTTTATAACGGAATATATTATAACGGTATGGGTTTGCAAATATCTAAAAGTTTGCATTATTAAAGCATTTTTCAGGTGTTCGACATTGTTGTAGTTGCCACGATATATTCCAAAAATCCCCAAAATCAGAAATCGAGAACGGACAAATCCAGAAATCAGGAAGGCCAGCATATGGGTCCATTGGGTTCAATTCATTGATTTGAGAAATAATAATTTAACAAAATTCTAATATTTTCAAAGTTGTGAGGGGGAGACCCATTATGCTGAAAGTATATTTCAAGTAAATTAGCTAAAGAAATATCTAAATGTTCCGGTACGATAGCTTCCAAGATTTACTTATAAGTAAATGGTTAGATATAAAGAATTTATTAGTGGCTCCCAAAATAAAACAAGAGACAGATTGCAGTATACTTTTAATAATTCTTTAGTTTCTTTTATTATCAGTCATGACCTACTAATAAAAATGATCTTTTAATATATTTTTTTAAATATTGCAGTAAATAGCGAAACTAAATATAGAGTGATATCTATTTTTGAGAAGCTTATGGCAAGCCAGATCATATAATTTATAAATATACAGAGTGTTCCATTTAAGAAAACATAACTTTAGTTCATATCTTTAAAAATATGCTTTTTATAAAATAACAGAGTACGCCACTGCATTCTACATAAAAAGTTCTACAATAAATAGTTTTCACCTTCTCGATACCTTTAACAATAACAGAGATACAAGGGGTGTCCCAAACTGCAAAATTTTCAAAAAGACCCTGTACCTCAGAAACGAAGGGGGCTATGAAAATTTTGTTTACGGCATCTTCCGTTTGACAAAAAAGTGGCACAGGTTTGTGCAAACCGCGCATATATCTTTACGAATAACGGATATACCGTATAATTTCAACCAAAATGCGACACCCTGTACAGAAATAATACTCAGGGAGATTTGGATTAAGAAAAAGCAAACAAGCGTTTTCTGTTATTTATTCAATATAATCCTAATGTTAAGTTCTCAATGTTCTAGTTACATATCAGTTCTTTCATTTCAGTATCTCCATGGAGGTTTATCTTCAACTGATTTATTACTTTTAATCGTCTTATTAACTCGTTCGGCTGTTGGCGTTCGAATGGACCCAACTCCATCTGGGACTGCTTGCTCTATTGGTCTATTGTTTGTTCTTCTTGATGGATTTCGCTTAACTTTTGGCTGTGCTTTTGGCTTCGGTTCCGTGACGTACCGTTTTATGTCTTCCAGATGTTTTTTTATCTCGTTGTGATTTTCCACGATGTCAAGATGGTGACCTCTGTGCTCGTGATTGAGCAGGTAAAATTTTTTAGTCATGGTGGAAATAACTACAGGCCTGTTGCTCGATCCCTTGCTTACGGTTATTAAAGAAAGTAGATCTTCTTGAGCGGCAAAATTGGTAATGTTCTCATTGAAACTGAAAAGGAAATCCATTGAACCTGTAAAAGTTATAATAATATACAGGGTGTCAAAAAATAGTGTATCTATCTTCGGTGAGTGATTCTACAGATAAAAATAAAATAACGCGAAGCGCGCCGAATAGAATTTCATCGCTTTGGATTCCAGCTAATGACCGCGCAACGGATTAAATTTATGTTATATTATAACATAATACATCGGTCCACTCGAATTTATGTTATATTATAACATAAATTTAATCCGTTGCACGGGTTTTCGCCGCTCTTCGCATAAGTGCGCGATATGCTTTACACACATTTTTATACCAAAGCGAATAGCGCTAGTATAAAATTCCGTAACACTTCTGAGAGGCTACTTTCCGTGGTGCGGCTTTTTTCCTTATAGATACAGTAATTTCAACAAATGAGAATTAAATCTAGGACTTTTTTTTATGTAAATAAGGTGCTCTTCGTTTAGTCCGAAACGGTGAACGGTTTTCAAGATGTTTGCGGTTAAAGGTTCCGATGCATCGATTTTAGTATTAGCGAAATCGGGAGATTCATTTATTTAGAATTTCTTTACATTTTATCATTTCGCTAACACTAAAGCATCGGTTTTAGTAACTTCTAAACGCAAATATTTTGTAAACTGTTCACCGTTTCGTACTAAATGAAGAGCACCTTTTTTTTTGACGTAAAAAAGTTTTAGCTTCTTGGGCCATTTGTTGAAATTACTGTATCCATAAGGATAAAATAAGTACCACCAGCAGTACTATCTACCTTAGTGGAAAGTATCCTTTCAGAAGTGTTACAGAATTTTACACGATTGCCATTCGCTTTGGTATTAAAATGTGTTTAAGGGTGGCTGCAACGACGTCCCGTAATCCTGCTGTTAAAATATCACAATTGCTTTTTATATATAAAAATCAGCTGTTATGTTTTAATAGCAGGATAACGGGATCTCGTTGCAGCCACTCTAAGAGTACCAAATTTCTGGAAAAACGGTTTTTTTAAAAATAAACAAAATATGTTATTTTTATTTTATCTTTCGAGAGCTGTAACTTCTTCGCGAAGCATTTAGAGCATATATTCATAGGAACTTTTTGTTTTATTTGCAAATCACCCATGGAAGTTAGATACATTATTTTTGACACCCTGTATATAAGTTAGTACGTAGTATCAAATATTTAATTAAGAAGGTATTTTTATTATTATAGGGTTGGTTTACTTATGAGGATTATAGGAGATGATTGGCTAGTGAAATATAGAGGGTCGTGTAAAAGAATAAGTAGGAAAACGTTCGAGAGATGATTGCTTTCTGAGGTAAGTATGGATTATTGTTAAATATTCTATTTAGAAAAAAAATACTATCAAAAATATAGAATGTAAAAAATTTAAAAAAGTCTGGTAATGCAATTTTTCCACTACAAAAAGTTGTGAGATTCCATGTAAACCCATTAAAGATATTTTATTTAGTTTCTATGGAAGCACATATTTAATAATTTTGTTAGGATCAATATTCTAGTCGTCTTTATTTCTGTAATAATTATAATGACTTGGCAATTACACGGCACCATCATTATAAAAGAACAATCTACCATTTTGATTACTAAGTAAATTTAAACACTGCACTTATGAATAAAGTTGGCCACCATAATATTGCCCACCCACACAAAACAGTGGGTGGTCAATATTTCAGAAACCTTATAAAACTGACATATTGAACATAATATGTAAATTATATTTATAATTTAATTATCAATTTAAAATGTGATTACGTATAGCGTTCTGTTGAAAATGATTAATTTGATTTCTACTGCTGGTGTACCAAGAGATATGAGATATGGCACGATATGGTCATTTTGTATTTGTTTTAAGCTAAAATTTAATGAGTTAATAAAGCTTCAATTAAATAATGTAGTGCCGAGTTTAACTTTTTCACTGAGGGGAAATAAAAATTGCAATGAAAATTTTTATTTCTCCTCGTTTGAAAGTTTGAAATAATTTATATTTTTTACCAGGGTTACAATTTTTGGTTGTTGTTACCTTGATTGTTTACCTTGACTATTAGTTTTAATCATCGGCTGATGATGCTAACGTGTTTATCGAGCATCCACCGTTTAAAATAGTGTTTGGTGTATTGTAGTGAATTAGTGTTTTATTTTGCTGTTTTAACACAAAAGGTTTCAACCCTAAACTGTCATATTACCTTGGTCGTGGTAATTATCATATACTATAAGGAGATCTGTTTCGACTGGTGAGTTGTAAAGCTGCTGATATGACGCTCTTTTAAGTGTTCCATCTGTTCCGATCTTTTTATCCATAGTCTTAAAAATATGTATGTCGTAGTCTCATAGTGTATTCCGTCTTTTCATAAAGATCCTAGTCACTTCATGAAATAAACTAACCTAATAACTTAACTAAACTCCTAACCTAACCGACGCGACGCTTCATGAAGTGACCTAGGATCTTCATGAAAAGACGAAATTGAGGACGAAATACACTATGAGACTACAATATATATGTTGGAGGCAGAAGTCGAATTCGGCCTATGTCCGAAATAATTAGACATATGGCGATTTGTCCATACTAAACTTGCCAGATGCGTGCAACTTCGTGGTTATAAATAACTTCTTTGCGGAGGGGGTTAATCTTTTTTTGATTTAATTTAACAACAAAGATTAACACCCACCGCATAAAAGTTGAAACCAATGCAATCAAAACTCTTCCGCGTAACTTTGTGGATATAGGTAGGTATATTTAATTATAATCGCCATATATCTAATTATTTCGGACTGCCTCCAACATATACATTAAATATAATTTCAGTTATTATGAATTCCTAATATACTAACTTTTTTTCAATTTGTTTATTTTTTTAGTTTTAAACAATTTAGCCTAGTATTTTTAACAATAATATATGAACTAATAAACTGAGGTTACATAATTTGCTACTTAGGTAGGTTTATTTTATTACACACAACCGCAATGTCTAGAGATATTTTAAACATATGTCCTTAATTACTAATATAGACTTTTGCATTTGTTCCTTTTTTATTTTAGTTCATGGAGATTAAAATAAAATTGCAATAAAATAAAAGTTTTTCAACATTTTTTTTTATTTTTTAAGTCCCAGAACACCCAATACAGATATTAAAAACAAAGTAAAAACTGCGATTAATTACTTATCGGAAAATAAGAAAAATATTGTATCTCTTCTAAGTAGAGAGTTAGTTGTTGTTGACCATTTCTATTATTCACAACTTCCTGGCATCGTTAGGCAAGTTCAAGATTAGGCCAATTAGGCTATAGATCTCCGGCTGCGGTGTATCATTCAGGCCATTCGTAAGGGCTAAAAATACACTGAAAAATTTAATTTTAATTACCATATGTTCTTTAGTATTACAACTCGTTTGTAAAATCGCTGTATGGCTAATTTGTGGCATGTTTGTAAATATGTTATAATATCTTTATATTTACCCATATTCTTTGTGAATTTATGTAAAAAGTGTGTATCTCATAGTAAATTTACTTATTCATTGTAAATTTATCTTTTAAAATCGCCAACTTTTTGTACTACTATTATAGTGAATTTACAATTACTTTTGTAAATTCACAAAGCGTTAGTAAATATTAATAAATATAATAAAACATGTATTTATAATTATAATATTTATTATAAAGGTTAATAAAAAATAAAAAGTCACAAAAAAAAGAATTTATGTATGTAAAATACTCATTGCATCTCTTCTTGTCTAGAATAACCTAACAAAAATATAGGAACAAAATTGCCACGCTACGTAGCACATAATAAAAAAAAACATGCAAGAAAAGGTATCTAATCAAAATAGTCAACTTACCAACTTACCCACTTAGAAACTATTAGTGTATAGAGTCCTATACTCCGGTCCTCTATTAAATTTGTTCTCCGAAACAGTCTGAAAGAATAAATAATACTTGATATGTTGATAGAGGGAGATCATGGAACAATAATTATATTTACATAAAAAATTCGCTAAAATTAAAATGCAAATAATTATAAAAAAATGGAGACTGTGTTTACTAAGAGGGCTGGCTTTATATTTACAGAAGCTACATATAAACATAATTAATATGTATAATAATATATATAACAAAATTATATAAGGATTCTTGCCACTTAACTGCTTATATAAAAATTTAATTTGTTTTCTATAATATATATAACATATATAATATATAATATATATACTTACACTTAAATTATAAAAACACTAATCACCCTCGCTCTGAGATTCCCACTGCTTAAATTAAATTTTTCTTCGTCTTTCCTCTAACTACGTTGTCAATCGATTACTTAATTCGCATCAGCTTTACAAGAAGTCACGTGACGTGGCGTCATTTATTTCTAAATATATTATAGTAAATTCACACAAGTTTTGTGAATAAGTCTAGAGACATGCAATTTTACTACAAGATTGTATTTCTGATTTAATTTTTAAACTCACAAAACTCATTGTGAAAATAATACCATTTTACTAATGGTATCATTAGTACTGTAATGATTTAATACTAATAAACTGTTTTGTAAAATTACATTTTTTGTGAAACTAGGCAAAAATATCTTATTTTTACAAGTTTCTCATTAAAAATACTATAATGTATCAATATTTTTTTAGCACTTAGAAATTCGTGATATTTAGGTGGTAACAAAAAAATACAAGACAAAAATTGAAATATCCTTAAACTTTGAGATTGTGTGTATATCTTACTTATTTAATTGTAAGATGCTAATGAATTGAATTTATCTTACCTGAAATAAAAATATTTTGGGTTTATCTGCTAAAGATGGACAATTGTCTGACGTAAATTCGCCCCATATTTCACTCATTCTTTTTGGCTGTAAAGCTAGTTTCGCAAAAATCATTATCAGACCATCAATATTAGTTGCTTCAACTTCTTGCTTTGCTGCAAAAAAAATGTTACCATTCTTTAAATCCACCTTTTATAGCAAAGAAAACATTTAATTTTAGACTAAGCACTAGTTTGTGTTATTTATTTTTGATTTTAGATATGCTCAATTTTCTAATTTGTTGTTAACTTCTTGGTGATAGTGTAGGTACTGTTATAGATATTTAATAAAAATGTATTGTACAATTAAAAATAATTTATTTTAAGGTATTACAAGATATCGAAAACTTTGGAAAGAAAAGGTGATTCATAATAAATGAAATTGTGAAAACCTTTTTATTTTTATTAACGTCTATAGTATAATCATAACTTTGATTTTAAACATCATTTTGAAAACTTTTTACACGCGGTAAGCAAAACCCACAGGGCAAGACAAAATAAAGAGAATTTAAAACCCAATAAAATATAATAAATTAATCAAGAATTCATATCGTTATATTTAATCATATATTTATATCTAATCAGCTGTTTGCTTCTAGAGTTAAAAAAACATTTATTTATGAATTTTTCGGAGTGCTGATTTTTATTATTTCGTTCTCTATGGTGTTTGGCAACGATAAATGCACAAGTACTGTAACATGTAGAATGAATAATGTAGAATGTTTAGGTTGTTGTATGGTATATTACTGTAATATAGTAATAATAATATATACTAATAATATACACGTTTTTTGTAATGATAATGAAGTGGGTTATACAAGGTCCGGCTGTAGTGCGTCGGGCATCTGTATTCCCTCGAATAAAAACTTGAGAATTTTGCTTTAAGTGCAAACCTAAAAGTATGTGCCAGATGTATCTCAGGGAAAATATTTTAACTTCTATAGGGTGGCTCAAAAAAGTGAGTGGACCTGAATGGGATTTTTTAAATGGAACACCCTGTATATTATTGCATTTTGGCTTCCTTTCAGATCACTTCACATAACCCTAAGATATGAATAAATATATTCTTGATAGTTTCAGAGATATTAAAAATAAATCAAAAATTATATATTTTAAAAAAAAAAAAAAAATTGATTAAAAATAATTTGTTCTGTAGTAAAATGATCATATTCCAATATTGTGTATGCATTCTTGAAATTCCTTTCATAGACACATATCCAGTTGTCGTATTTTACATGTTATATTATAAAAACTCGTTTAGATATACACGGGTGTCAAATATAGTGTGTGTAGACAGTGTAGAGTGTAGAGAGAGAATACGAAACCAAGGAAGGACAAAGAAAATATGTGCGTGTACATTTGAAATGACAGAAAACCGTTAATTTCATATTTCTTTCGCTGGACAAACTATAATCTACTCTGTGCTGAATTGATATTCATTCAAATGAAGAATTAAAAACCCAAATGTTATTGTAGGTATTATAATTATTCGACATTCTTGTTTCTGTTCACGACAGGGACGAAATCGGCACTCTATATAGGAGCGCGACGCAACGCGACGGCTGGAGCGAAATACAAAAATACCGCCCCAAAATCGCGTTACTCAAATACTGACACTTCACTAATGCAAAGTGATTAGAAAGGAAGCCAAAAATGCAATAGTAGACAGGGTGTTTCATTTAAAAAAATAATCCCAGTTCATTTATGCTTTTTTGAGCCACCCCGTAGAAAATATATTTTCTTCCTAAAATACATTTAATACAAACTTAAGGCACAGAGTATACTTGTATAGAGGTTTGCACTTAAACAAAATTCCTAAGTTTTATATTATAGGACATATAAGATAGCCGACGACGCTGGACTATTACAGGGCCCTCTGTATACAGGGTCCGGCAAAAGTGTGTCAGGAATCTGTAGCCCTTAGAATAAAAAAACTGGAAATTTTTTTTAAGTGTTAACCTAAAGCATGTACTAGGATGTATTTCAGGAAAATATTATAACTTCTACAGGGTGGCTCAGAAGGTGTGAGTGGATCGGGTTGATTTTTTTAAATGGAACACCCTGTATATTGTTACATTTTTGGCTTCCTTTCAGATCACTTTACATAATCCTAAGTCCATAATGCTAAGTCAGCCTTTCTTAATAAAAATTATTAAAAATACAAGAACTGTCCCGAAGTCAAAATTATGTTATGTATTTACGTTAGATGATCTGTACTTACTTTGCTATAAATATCGTAATCTTATCATACAAAGTTCTACGCCAAACTTTCTTAAATATAAAATAAATTTTCTTGTTTTTTTTGAATGGAACACACTGTATATTATTTTTTAGTAAATGGAGAATTAAAAAATGAACATTTTTTGTATTTAGAGTATTTAAAATTTTTAACGGTTTCGCAGAGTTTTATTCGTGGTTTTATATTTCACATGGCATTTTCCATAGTAAACTTTTATCAAAGCCACCCAATGATTTTTTCTTGTATTTCACATTGTGTTCCATTTAAAAAAAAAGATGAAGAAAATCTATACTGATATAGTATAAAATCCTTAAGTGACTTAAGGATTTTATGTATCAGTATATATATTATTCTTCGTCTTTTTTTTTAATTATTAGTATAGATATGATTAATCACGATCCTGCTCAAACCACTCAACGTAAGAAGCTCAATTTTACAGGTGGATTCTAGGGTGTAGAGGTTCGATAAGAAGGGATTTTTCGAAATTCCAGTTCGAAGGGTGTGAAACCATAAGGTGAAATCACCCCACAAATATTACAATATTTTTTATTTAAAAAAACAATCAAGTTTCTGAAAAAATGCTTAAACACATATATTTTATTTTGTTTTTTTACACATTTTAAGATTTTTTAAAAATGTTACATCGAGTGTAACAGGGTGTTTCGAAAAATCTGGTCATTGATTTATAACGATCCTGCTTAAAGCACTTGACGTAAAAAGCTGATTTTTGGAAAACGGATTGACTTTAGGGTGTAGAGGTTCGATATAAGAAGATATTTTTCGAAACTCGAATTCTAAGGGGGTGAAACCACCCCTCAAATATTAGAATATTTTTTTATTTAAAAACCGGTGAGTTTTTCAGAAAAACTCTTAAACATGTATATTTTATTTTGTTGTTTTACATATTTTAAGATTTTTTAAAAAGTTATACAGGGTGTTTCATAAAATATGACCATTGAGTAATCAGGATTCTGCTTAAACTGCTTGACGTTTAAAGGTGATTTTTGGCAAACGGATTGACTGTGGGGTGTAGAGGTTCGATAAGGAGGTGTTTCTCGAATCTCAAATTCCAAGAGGATGAAAACGCCCCTCAAATATTACAATATTTGTTATTTAAAAACACGGTTAGTCTTTCGAGAAAACTCTTGGACACG